ATGGTGGTGATGGTGGAGGTGGTGATAATTGTGATGGTGGCCATGGTGGTGATGGTGGACATGGTTGTGATGGTGATGGTGATGGTGATGGGAGGTGGAGGTGGTGATGGTGGTGGTGGTAGTGGTGGTGGTGATGGTGATGGTGGGTGGGGTGGAGGTGGTGATGATGGTTGGTGCTGGTGATAATGGATGTTGGTGGTGGTGGTGGAGGTGGTGATGCTGGAGATGGTGGTAACGGTGGTAATGAGAATAGTGGTGGCGATGTAGGAAGTAGTGGGAGAGTGTTGATGGAGATGACAGTTGGTCACAGTAGGGATACAACGAGGAGGAGGAGGAAGACCAGGAAGAGGGCAGGAGGGGTCGGAGGCTCAACACCCAGGGCAGTTGGAGGCCTCGGGGGGCACATGGCAGGCGCACTTACCCCAGCCAACTGCACAGAGCTTCAGCAAGTACCGGCGGATGTAGATGTTGTAGACACGTAAGAGGAGGAGGTAGAGGTTGAAGCCTTCGATGGCCATCCAGGTGAGGCAGCTCAGCAATGCATAGTGCAGGATGGCAGCCAGCCCCGTGCAGGCAGACTCGGGCGCCGAGGGTGCGGCCAGCACGGGGCTCAGCAGGAAGGTGGCATTCAGGAGCAGCACAGAGCCATGCAGGTTCACGTGGATGCGTGTCATGGAGTCGCTCTGCTTCCTGAGGGTGAGGATGGCTGTCCATGGCTGGGGACACCAGCCAGGAGGGCCCCAATGGAGGGGAAGCTGAGGGGGCAGGGGGTCCACAGCAGACACTCGGCAGGGCAGGGGCCCCACCCCCTGGCCCCGATCCTCTGGAGAACCCCAACCCACTCTGGGGACCAAGTGGCAGAGAAGCAGCCGTGGGGTGGCCAGAGGCGTGGCGGCAGGGGCACACCTGGTGTGGACGTGGAGCAGGATGGTGAGCAGCGAGGCCACAATGGAGACGCTGCAGCCCACAAGGGAGATGTGCGTCAGGGACGCCAGCTGCTCCGCAGTGAGCCGGGCCGAGGAGAGCTGCTGCGGGAGGGAACGGGGCGGGCATGCACAGAGTGACTCCTGGGGGGCCGAGGCTGGAGGCCAGGAGGAGCAGGGTACGCCCCAGACTCCATCAGAGGGGCTTCCACAACCTGGGCTCTATACCCCCTCCTCCCCAAGATGTTGGGGGCTTGAACGTGGCTTGAACAAGGCCATCTCTCTCTCTCTC